ATGCGGGCCTACCCCGCCACCTGGGTGTTTCCCCCAACCGCAAACCCCAATATCGCGGCAATGGGTAAGTGTCGGCCCTTCCGGACCGTTCGGTTAACCAAGTACCCCTGCAGGTCGTACACACACTCAAGCCAACAAGCACACAGGCAGGCATGCGGACCAGCAAGCATGCCCACACGCACAAAACCTGGGAACAGGCTCGGGCCACTGGTTGGACGGGGCCCAACTACTATATATATACTGAGTTGCTCCCCTTCCATTCAAAGTGGGAGCTAGCTCAGTAGGTTTAGTCATTGATTACTATGCGAGGAACGCAGGGATCGAAGCTTACCAACCCCTGAGCTAACTCCCTTTTGGCGGGGGGTTCAATTGCATTTACCCCGGTTGCGGTCCGCCGGAACTCGAACCCGTGACCTCGAGAATTGGGGTTAGCAGCGGTTAGACCCCGTTGTGACAGTTGGCATGACGGGGTAGTTAGCAGTATAAATTTTCTTTTGTCTGTTATTTATTAGTTAGATTTGATTTCTTTTTATTAGATTCTTACTATTTCATTATTATAATAATTATTATTCTTCTTTTAGTTTTTCTGATCCCGTAGCAAACCTTCGCCTACTCACCTTAGTGAATCTGCACTAGAAAGGCGGGTAGGTTCGTTTTCACAAAATTTTATTCAACTTTGAGCACAGCGCCCGAAAGTTCGGTCCGTGTGCTCGGACTGAGCACTCGTCGGAGGGAGCTCGCAAAGTCGGAGTCCAGATGGGGGAAACTTCGAACGAGGAGAGCATAAAGATGGTTGCGCGATGAGAGGAAACAAAGTGCGGGGCGGTAGTGCAAGCGAGGAGGCTGCTCAGACAAAGCGAAGAAATGGAGATGTCCGCGCGGCAGGAGGAGAGAGCAACATCGGGGGCGCGTGCGCAGTAGGAGGAGAGAGCAACAGCGGGGGCGCGTGCACGGTAAGAGGAGAAAGCAACAGCGGGGGCGCGTGCGAGGTAGGAGGAGAAAGCAACAGCGGGGGCGCGTGCGCGGAGGCTGGAAGAGCAAGCATGGGGCGCGATCGGTAGAGATGGCGCGGGGTGCGGTAGATATGGCGCGGGGAGAAGTAGAGGAGGAGTTAGCGCGCGGTGGTAGCGAGAGGAGAAACGCGCGGAGGAGAAGAGAAAACTGGGCAGAGGTTAAGAAAATGTGGAGATAGAAGAAGAAGAAGAAGAAGAAGAATAAGAATAAGAAGAAGAAGAAGAAGAAGAGGAAGAAAGGAAGAGGAGAGAAACAAAGGGTGACTTACCTGTCGTCCGCCCAGCTCGTAGGATGCGAGCTCATGTTTGTCGGGACCGTACTGTGGTCGGTGAGCTGCACATTGTGACGGATCGTCGTGGGGAACCGGGAGCATCTGACGACGGAAACGACAAGGACAACGGAAGAAGAGAAACATGTAAGTCGTATTTCGCAGTGCATTCCTCGACATTTTCAACGACAAAACGAGAATAAATAAATAAATAAATAAATAGAGAATGAACCTAATACTACAACGTGGAAATATTTATTACTACACGTGTGAATATATGTGTGTGTGAGTGTGTGTGTATGTGTGTGTGTGTGTGCGTGTGTGTGTGTGTGAGACGTTCATGATTCGACCAAGGTGTGAGAGAGAGAGAGAGTGGAATGAATCTTCCCACATTACCCTGGAAGATTCATTCTCATTCTGAAAGTTTGGAACGAATGGCGCAGTGGGGAACAAACCGCACAGCAGGGAACGAACTAGGCATTGGGGAGAGAGAGAGAGAGAGAGAGAGAGAGAGGGACAGAGACAATAAGTCTCGAACCTTGGCCGACGGCTAAGCCTCCCACTCGCGCCTCGCCGCGCGCTACTTGGATCGATAGAACGAGCAAGGCAAAAAGTGGCAGTGTATATTTCCCCGTTTCAGCGGAGGATTCATTCCGTTTTTGCTCATTCTATCGATGGAATGTGTGTGTGTGTGTGTCTGTGTGTGTGTGGGTGGGTGGGTGTCAGACGTTCATGATTCGACCAAGGTGTGTGTGTGTGTTTGTGGGTGTGTGTGAGACGTTCATGATTCGACCGATGTGTGTGTATGTGTATA